TTTTTTCCTACTTCATGTAATCCCCCCAGGGCAAATATTTTTAAATTACTTGACATTATAGACATAAACTAAATTTTATTTTAATTTCTTTATTGTTTTTATTCATATTTTTTTGTCTATCCTTATCTTCTAATTCTGCTTGTAGGTGCAGCATCGGTTCTTTTTCCTTTTCATATGAGATATTTATTATTAAAAGGATACAAAGTAAGTATAAAATATATTATATAATAATTGCATGACAGATAATAATAAGTATATTTATAATTTTAGTGAGTATAAAAAAGCATTAGAGTTTTTAAAAAAAGGTTGTAAGTGTGGATGCTCGACCAAAATTCCCCAAGACAAGTTTGCCCAACTACGAACTCAATTTCAAAATCTTTCTTTACTAGAAAAAGATGCCGTATTAATGGGTCAACTTCTAAATAGTAGTGGGGGAGACACAACTACTAGTTCTCGTTTTCCCAAAAGAGAAAGAGTTAACAAGCGAACTTTCTATTTCTTTGAATATAAGTTGCCTACTTGTCAAGAAACCTATCTCAACATGCTCGGAATAAGTCGTAAGTATTTAGAGAATGTAAAAAGGCATCTTTTCAGTAAGGGTTTATCAACTAGGGTTCATGGCAATATCGGAAAAATACCCCAGCGGAAAACCAAGATGTTAATTGACCAGAATGTTAGGGAAACAGTAGAAAATTTTATTAAACTTTATGCCGAAAAGTATGGTTTACCTAGTCCTGAAAAAACTATAACACTTCTTCCAACTGATATGAGTTATAAGTCGGTTCACAAAGATTTTTTAGACAGTTTACCTGAAGATAGTAATTTAAAGAAATTAAGGTATCATGCTTTTTATAAAATATGACACCAATTAGTTCCTCACATTCAGTTCATGTCTCCTCGTTCCGATTTATGTGACACTTGTCATCAACTTCGTAATGACCTCCATGACTGCTCTAACAAAAGTGAAACTGAAAAAGAAGAGTTAAAAAAAAACTTTTAAAACACCGAAATCAAGCCGAAAAAGAAAGAGAGTATTATAATCAGAACGCCGAATTATTTAGAGAACAAAGAGAACTAGTTGAAGAAAATTATCTGCTTAAGCAAGGAAAAGTTGAATATCGTAGTGTGAATGCCACTGCTTATTATAGTTGAGATTGATCCCAAGATATTTATACTCCCCATTTTGCTCAACAGCCTAGTCAAACTTATTTCTTAACTGCTCGCAAGGTTCATTTATTTGGTATTCACAACGAGGCAACTCACGAGCAAATTAATCCTGTTTTGGATGAGAATGAGTTATTAGATAAAGGAGTTAATGGAACTTTGAGTCTAGTCTTCGATGCCATTAAGAAATTAAATAGAGGTGAAAAACATCTTAAACTCAATTGCGATAACTGTCCTGGACAGAATAAGAACAAGACAACTATTCAGTTTTTAACTTACTTAATAATCTGTAGTTATTACGAAACTATTGAACTAAACTTCATGATTGCTGGTCACACCAAGTTTAGTCCTGATCGGAATTTTGGAATGATTAAGAAATTGTATCACAAATCAACTGTTTACCGAAAAGATGATTTTGTGGAAGTAGTTAATAAATCCAGTCCAAAAGGATTAAATAAAGTTCAATGCTACGAAGAGGGAAAAGGTTTTCAATACCTAGACTTTAAAATTTTAGAAAGGTATTTTGAGAAACTGCCTAATATAAAAAAGTATCATCACTTCTTATTTAGTGCTGATAATCTGGGAGTAGTGAAAGTCAAGGAGTTTGTTGATAGTTCTTGGATAGAGATTAACCTTTGAAAGGATAAAGATAGGATTATTGAGAGCATCAGAGAAATTAAAGAGTTGGTGTTTCCAGTATTAAATCCACCACCTTTAACTATTGAACGGCAGGAGTATCTTTATGAGAAAATTAGACCTTTGATTAGTGAAAAGTTCAAAGATATTGTTTGTCCGCAACCAATATTAGATAATATTCCGACTAATATAAGAGATTAAGTGGTTCCTTCGTTTGGGAACAAAAGCCTTCAGAAACTCCTTTTGGTTAAAATAAAAGTTTCTTAAACAGTTATTACAGACATGTTTGTTTTTATCTGTTTCTCGTTCTGTTCAGTAAAATAGAAAGTTTTTTTGGACATAATTTTGTTGTGGAACGGAAAACTTTAATCAAAATTCTTGCTTACAATTAAAA